ATTTTTTGTAACAAATATCTAGCCAATGTAGTCGTAAACATGCATGAACAATCGTTTCAGAAGTTAAAAAACGTTAGATAAATGTTAAAGAAAAAGAAATAATACATATACTCTTCTCTCTCGCAAGATTTTCATAAAAACATCTTATGATGTGATTCTCATTAACTTACATGTGGATATAAAATAAAATTTGCAATATAATCTACATTTGTAAGGGTTATTTAAAGTAATCTCATTTTAAGAAAAATTAGGACATTCTGATCTCAAAAATAATTTTTTTCAAAATTAACTTTTTTTTACACTTAAGTTAATTTAATCTTAACTTAACTTTTATTAAGTTAATTCTTTATTTTTTTAACTTTCAACTTAATTTTATTAGTCATTTTATAAGTCATTAAATTTAATTTAGTTTAAAAAAAAACATTAACTTACTCAATCCTAATATATATATATATATATATATATATATATACATACATACATACATATATATATATATGTGTGTATGAAGACAAAAGTATTTTTTTCATAAAACCAAATTATTAAGTCCATCTTTTTTAATCTGAATTGTTGCGTTCTTATTAGGTAATAGTGTCACATTATGAACACTTTCGTTTAGGAAGAATTAAAATTAAAAAATTGAATAGGTATTGCAGCAGTAATATTAATAAAATCCACTATTGAAGCTGTGGTAATTAATTAAAAGTGAATTAAATGCAAAGCGAGCAAGTGATAATATAGAAGTGACAAGATCGATTTTTCCATAGATGATAAAAAAAAAGGTATTGCATGCGTTACCATAAGTTAATGTGCTGTAACATATACTTCCTGTCTTGTAAATAATTCATATAGTATGAGCAAATTTGTCTTAATAGTTTCATCAGAATTGTATGCTGTAATTTTAATTTTGTGTGATTCTGTATATGAAGAAAACACATGGTATTCTTTTTCTAACAATTACAACACTGGCCGAGATTGTCATTTCATAACATGATCATCGGTTAATCGGTTCCAAAAACCAGAAGGTCAAATGTAATTAAAGCGATGCGTTTTAAAGCCGCCTATTCTGTGCCTCTTTGCAAATCACGATAAAATATACATGTATCTTTAAATTTGTTTAATTATGTGGCTGATATTAGCTTTATTATCTTTTACTATTATCTTTGATTGATTATTCGACTATTGATACTTTTAGCTGATGTTGTACAGACAAAACGCTCCTTAATCAAATACGAAATCTTATTTCGATACAAAACACCTAATAACGTCTTAATGATATAAATGCCTATATTTACATTTATACGCGCGATCGCGATAAGTAGGTATTCATAATATTTCTGCAGAATAATTAATATTAATATAATGCAACATTATTTCTTGAAAAGTCTGCTCCTAGATAAATGTAAATTCATTGACACTTGAATTTGCAGTGATTCGTTACATTTGATTCACAGTAGTCTACCAAAAGCCGCGTGTCGCCTCGACGAATCACGCATTCTTGTACGTAAAGATAAGATTGTAATTTGTTACCATAAGACAAACAGTGAATATAACGACTTTATGTGCAAAGGAATTTGGAATTTCACGTCACATATCATATACTAGTATAATTTACATATTAACACTGTTTTACTCACATAAAGTTAGCAATATACAATTCGTTCTCTTGTGGGGCTGGTTTATCGATCACTTTATCTCGCTTTCAAGACAGTTTGAGTAGAAGCTGCGGTAATTCACGCATTTTTGTTGTATTCGTAAAAGTATATATAGTTGGTTGTCATTGGCTTTGTTTATCGAATTGTGATAGTACAGGACACTAGAGCGATATACGGAACATATATGACGTGATGCCGATTTGGCATTATTTTTGCGATAACACTCAGGAAAGGTGAAACCATAAAGAGAGAGGAATGATGATAGTGCAATTCCGAGCAGAAAGATACCGACGAAAATAAAACGTACGAAAGATGTGATCTATGACACCTTGTTATTATATAATTTCTCCCATTTGTACACGGAAAGAACAATTTTGCTAAAGCATCTAAAAAGTTAATTGTAGATATAGAATATGTACATATATATATAGTAACGCATAAGTTGTTCTCGTGACAGACCAATTTACGAGTGTTATAGCAAAAATCTTATCTGACAAGAGCGTGTTCAATTTTGCATGAGACAAGCAAAGGAGAAAGATAAATTATAATAAATATGTCTTAACATACAAATGCGTTAATGACTGTATTTCTCGAGTGTTCTTTATGAATCGCGTAGGACCCTCGAGCAGGGATTTAGACTATTATAAATGTGCTAACCAGTGAAATATATACGATTTATATAAATTCTATGAATTAAAGTATTAAATAAATATTTCTCTGCTCTATCTGGCAGACCACTTGCAAGCAATTACAAAGAAATGCCGTAAAATTTTCCTAATGAATATGAAAGAATTATATTCACGTGTTATCGTGCGAGTGTGGGTATGGGAGATGACTTTTCTTATTGATTTGCGAAAAAATTGTACAAATTCTTTCCGGCGGAACCTATTTCGCCCCACCGAATAACACGACTGTCGCGACGATCATCGTCTTCTTCACACTTCTTTCATGCCGACTACATTTATGTAGGAAATCGATTTAATCAGTTAAAAGATTGTCGCGCTCCATTCTGCATGTGCAACTGAAGAAGAATAGCTAAAGAACATTTTTCTCAAGGTGCATGCACAACAGCGAAGAATAAGAATTATCGGTGTGGTGGTGATTCATTGGAAATTCAATTTACTGCGTTCCAAATCGCTATATATCTATCCAAATATTTCACGAGGGAAGAAATCATTTGACAATAATCAAAAATATTTTAATGAAACCTAAAAGTAAGTTATCGTCAAATTCTCTATTCCTAATATTTTTGCAAATTTCAAAACTTTCAAAAAATTCGAAAAATTTTAAACGTATCGGATCAAATATATCTATTGAAAAATATGAAAAATATAGAAAAACGTTTCTGCAAACAAAAGTTACATTGCTTGAAAGGGTGCAATAATGGTTTAAAAAAAAAACAATTTTATAAAGTTATATATAAGTTTTCGCCATTTTTTATAAAGAATTTGTAAGACTTTTTTTCACATAATATAATTCTAATTATTTTGGGTATCTAAGTACCAAAGTAAAGATATCGAAAAATAAAGAATAGTCGAAGATACAGATTCTGATTATAACTAATAGTTTACGGAATATATTTTATGCCTTATTTTAGAACATTTTTTATTATGAAATATGTAGAATATTTTATGAACTATTAATTTTTTATAATCATACCTGAATTTTTTTGCACAGAATAATGGAATGAATCAAATGTATAAAGAAAACATATAGTTGTTTATATAGAAGAAACATGTAGTTTTATGTTGTAAAACTCATAATCTTTTTAATTATAGCAACTACGTAAAAAAATACATAGTTGCTTATTAAAAGAATTATGCATTTTGTATACATAATATAATTCATCTAATTTTGCATATATGTATAAAAGTATTAAGATAGAGATATTGAAAACTCAGTAGTTTTCGAGTTGTTTTATACCTTATTCTGCCACATATGAATATAAAATATAAAATTAATTCTTTTTAAACTATTGTATATTAATTTTTTGATAATCGTATTTTAATATTTTTACGCATTGAATAATGAGATGAATTATTAATTTCTCTTACATTGATGATTAACAATTAATATTGATATCATGTTACTTTTAGTTTGCCGACTAGATAGAGTTCCATGTCGTCCGAATTTTTCACAAATAGTGCACTTTTTATTAGAAGGAAACTTGTGAAATAAAGGTTTTTTTATTTTAAGAAATAAAATTCTATTTATGGAGGTATGAAATAAAGTTATGATATTAATTGTTAATCATCAATGTAAAGAAATTAATGATTCATCTCATTATTCTATGCATAAAAGTATTAAAATACGATTATCAAAAAATTAATATATTTTATAAAGTATTAATTTAAAATAAAATAAAATTAAATAAATGGAAATTATTTGGCTCAGATATATCTTATTATCAATTAAAATATTACAGTTTATAATTTAATTGCAATTAATTATTAATTATTAAGATAAATCTCTCTAAAAGTTAATAATTTTAATGCATTAAGAAAGTTTGAAGAGCATTAGTTTCTCTTATCAATTAATTTCATTAATCAGTTATTAAAAATTTCTCAGAGTTCGATAATGTTTGTAAATATATTTTGGATAATTCTTGTGTGGATTCTCGTGTTTTGACTATATTTTGAACAGGATATTAGGACGAGTGCTGTCAATAAATCGTTAGTCAAGTTCGATCCGTCTCGCAGTATCAATGTGTTGTTCGACATTATTCGTTCCCGATTGCGCGTAATCTTTAACTTCAAGATAATCGCGATTAAGAGTAATACAAATTATCATGCAAATTGGAAGTACATCTAACAAACTGCATTAGTATTTTTATTCTAAACTTGTAAAGTTTCTTGAGAAGCAAACTTTTACGTAATTAGTATAAATCGCAAAACGGTTATCATAATTATTTTAACTTCTCTCGTAAATATATTTCCATGTATTAGGGAAGGCAATTTGTGTAACTGTTTGCAACAACTTCATCACATAGAAATTCAAATATATATCAACAAATTATCTTGTAATAATTTAGTGTAAAAAATATTGTGGTCTGACATATTCTATGAGAAATTTGTCTTGCCAGTTATTGTATAATAATACCTTTATATAAATTAATTTATTTTTATTAAATGTGACAGTGTATTTGTATTAAGTGAAAATAACGAACTTGTAATGTTATCGTTACGGTATCAAAAACTACATCCACAGAGATAGTTCTTATTTTGAGTATAACATTAACGTTTCATTAATGGCAGCATTCATTTGTCGTGGCAATATCGACTTTGTTCACAATAAACGTATGTACAACAAATCAGTCGATCATACGTGCATAACTAGTCGCAAATGTGTCTGAGTTTAACGATCGTTGGCAAGAAAAATGGTTTTTGGACGCTTTGTTAATCTATTTACTATGTATAGATCGTATAGATACAGACGCATGAGCCGTATATCAGGTGTCAATTTAGTTTTAATTATATAAATCTGAATCAATCATATCATCGAAGTTTATCATAACTAATTGCTGTTTCTGCTTCTAGGTGAAGAAATAAAATCTGAGGGTCCTGTAGACTTCGAACGAGCAATTATAGCAACAGGTGAGTAAATTATATAATGTTATGGGAAAGTTATCAAATGTATAACAATTAAGTAACTTTTTATTATATTTTCTTTTTAGCACTGATTTTTGTACATATATAAATATTAGAAACTGCAGCTTAATGCTTCAAATATCTATTAATATATGTTTAATCTTTCAATAATAAATTAATTTGATTGAGTCTTTAGCTTTTTACAATATGTTGCAAAAGATATGATTTAGGCAATCGATCGTTTATCTAAATTATTCCTGGTATAGATTTCGTAAATTGTACTGCCTTTAAAAATATCTAATATAATTAAAAATATAAGATTAATAAAGAGGATCATTAATTAATATTTAATAATTTATCGAAAAATGTCAAATGTTTAACAACTAATACATAATAAAGAGACAAGAACATCGATATAAAACTGACTCGAATTTATATTTTTGTAATTTTAACATATTTTTATTTATATTAGTTATTCACTATAATATAGTTTTAGTATTATCAATATTTTACATTAGTATCATTCAGTAT